TAGTAATAAAGTGTAATAATAACTTGCTCTAGGATACTAAGATAATTAGTAATAAAGTGTAATAATAACTTGCTGTAGGATACTAAGATGATTAGTAATAAAGTGTAATAATAACTTGCTCTAGGATACTAAGATAACTGGTAATAAACTGTAATAATAACTTGCTCTAAGATACTAAAATAATTAGTAATAAATTAAAATTATAACATTCTGTAGGATACTGAGATAAATAGTAATAAACTAATAATAACTTGCTCTAGGATACTAAGATAACTGGTAATAAACTGTAATAATAACTTGTTCTAGGATACTAAAATAATTAGTAATAAATTAAAATTATAACATTCTGTAGGATACTAAGATAACTGGTAATAAACTAATAATAACTTGCTCTAGGATACTATGATAACTGGTAATAAAGTAAAATAATAACTTGTTCTAGGATACTAAAATAATTAGTAATAAATTAAAATTATAACATTCTGTAGGATACTGAGATAAATAGTAATAAACTAAAAATATAACTTGCAACAGAAGACTAAGATAACTAGTGATAAACTGTAATTATAACTTGCTGTAGGATACTAAGACAAAATTCAAGCCCTTCAATGTGTTCCTAAAGTTATAATAAAAGTATATGCCTGTATTGCAGTGAAAATAGGATGACATTACGTCATACCTCGATACTCAACTTGAGTGAATTGCATTTACATTATAATATACGCCTAGGCTAGGCCTAGATTGTTTTTTTCAATACATGATGTCATATGGATAACAGGAAAAGCTACTCACCTCTCAGTCTGGATTTTCAAGTGCTGCACAGAATTTGAAGTAGTATTTGGCCAATCATTGACCTTACTTTTGTAGGTCTTGCAGTAAACAGTTGTTGTTTTTTTTTATGTAGAACACTCATAGTCCTTAAAACCAAACGATATAACTCCAGGAATCATACCAATGCCTGTAGCTGCAATTTTGCTAGCTTGCTGAATTGATAGTACATAAACAATGAACACATACAATATATATCTCTCTCAAAATGGACTCAGTCAACTTGACCAACCGCATGACCTCTTTGTACTCCTTTAAAGTCTTTATAGGTTTGATACTACAAACTTTTGATATAGTGTGTATATCTTCATGAAATGTGGCAGTCTTTCAGTAAACATTACAAGTCTTTTACATACAAAAAATCATATTTTTTAGTGAAGTATTTTTAATAAACTAAAATAAGATTTGTCCTTCAATATATCTAGTTGTTTTTTTACTAGTCCACAACAAATTACCACTAACTGCCAGAACAAAAACCTCAAATTCAACTTACAAACAAAACTGACACTGGTACACCAAAAAACAACACAAAATTACACTGCAGTTTACCATTTATTTCTGACATCAGCTCAAAAATAATAAACACTTGGATAAAACTTGCAATTAAATATATAATTCCTGTTGACTTCAAATTCACCCAAAAACCAGGCCTGAAACTAAAATAATTAATAAAAATTACATAGAATCACACAATACCAACATTATTTATAAAGCAGAAATCTACACCAGAGAAGCTGGTAGAAAATTGGAAACCAGATTCACTAAACATGATATAAAACTTTCCCATGTTTACCACCAGTGTATCTCAAAAACCCTTAATATATCTTAATATATTTTTAAACAAAGAACCGAACATCAATAAATGCAGAATAAAGGAAGCTATCTTAATTGAAAAAAAATAGCTCCACCCTAAACCAACACCCTGGGGTACCAAGATACTTTACTAAGCTGTGAAGCAATCTACAGTCATGTGATCTCTTTGTGCCATACTGTATATATATATTCATGCTTCTCTAAACTACTTTTTATGAGGATGACATGATATTGTCAAAACATCGTATATTTACAATAAAGTTTTTTCGTTGTCCAGTCAAGCCATCTCAGAATGTTTATTTTCTAAAAAGTTGGTTCCTTTTCATCAAATTTACATTCAAAATATAATTAAACTACATTTTGTTCATTTTATACCAAATCAGTATAGCATAAAATAATAGCTGCTAATCCATATTTTAATAGTATATAAGTTTTAAGTTCTTAATTTTATAAGGCAATATTAAAAAAAAACATCCTGAATTCCCCTAGTGTGAAAAACGTGACATTTTTTTCTTTAAGCATCCCCTCTTTAATTTATTTACCACCCATCTAAGAAGTACGAAATTTAATGTCTCATTCACAACTTGTACATGATGGCATGTAGCTTAGGCATATGCACTGTGAGTAGCCGAGTTCTGGGCAAGGACCTTGTTCATCTTTAGCATTCTCGACCCTGACACTGAGATTGTAAAAAATCTATTTTTATGAGAATATAAAGCACAAATAAAGTTCCAGTTTCTCATTTAGCAGAAATTAGATTAATTTCTGTATAATCTACTGTGTAGGACATAAACACTGGACAATCAGTACAGTTTGCATTCACCCATGGAATAAATACTTGAAAAGTCTACCCAATAACAATGGGAATGATCCATTTGTCAGCATATTTTAATCAAGACACAAATTTTATTACAGTTATTAATTTTACTGGACAACTGACCAAGTTTAGTCATACAAAAATACAACAATTTTGACATTCACCACTGACTTTGGGATCTTTACCATTGAATTTAAAAAAGATGAAGTTACATAGTAAGGATATGTTCTGTTATCATATTTTTTTAACAATTAAATGTTAAGCTGGAAGAAATGAATACATTTAGATAAATGCTGAGTTTATGACTAGCAACTTCACAATCTGTTCATTTGGAAATAACTCATTGAATTAAATAAGTTTGTTTATTTATTCTTTTCTTTCAGCTCCAAAGTGCAACAGTCTTTTCAAAACTTTAGAAGAGAATGAGATAACAAGATTCATTTGGAATCAGATGAAACCATTTATAAGGGGGAAAATTTTATTCACACCCAATAATCCAGCTACAAGAAGAATAATTTCTCGGGTAACCATAAGTTAACTTTTTGTTGAATTACAATTTCTATTCATTAATTCCTCCTACCAGTTTTTCCCTTCTATTTTCATTATTAATCATTGAATTTAATGATTTTATGCAGTATTATCATTATTAGAGCTGGGTTATTAGTGAAATTAGATAATAAATTAATCATTACTCTCATTAATTGATTACATTAAACTTATTTATTATTCTAATATGAGAATTGAGTAGTTTGAATAATTGAAAATAGTAATAACTGGCAACACTAATTTTGATTATTCAGTTATTTTCATTAGTCATGGCACTAACTAAACAATCTTGAATTAATCCAAGTAATGAAAAATCATAATGGAAATATTTTGATGGTTTGGATAGTTGGAATAATCAAATATGGTAATTATTGGAAATGTTAAGTTTGATTATTTTTGTGTCATTCATCAATTTAATCATGCTTTCAATTAATACTTTCTTTACATGACATTAATTGATATAATCAATGCTCCTAGGTAATCAATTTTATTGGTTAACTGAGTTAATCATCCAGTTCTAATTAATACATATACTCGTAGCTGGCACACATATTTTTTTAGTCCTGTGTGTATTTAGGTCTAGTACTTTCAGTTTTAAATAATCTGATATAATGTTGACTTTTTATTAAACTAGGTAAACTCCACTTTTGCACCTTTGGTAACACTTCAGTCTTGGAGTTCACACTGGCTAGATGTCCTTAGTGGTCAAGTTGAACTGCTAATGCAAAACAGTACAGAAACAATAAAGACACTAAAGGTAAAAAAGTACTCCAAACACAAAATAATCTTGTATTTATATTTGGTTTCTTATTTCACAAGAATGAATGAAAAGTAGCTAATCTATTGTGCTTTCAATCAACTTAGTTTGTGATTATGTTTTTTTGTTTTGTTTTTTGCAGAAAGTCACATCTCCTGGTGTGTTTTCACTTTCTAAACTCATTCAGGTGATTCTTAAAAACAGCTCCATTAGTGGGCTCTTGAATAACCTTGGAGACCAGACTATCACAGGGCGTTTTGCCAAGCAATTTCATGACAACCTGGTTTTGGTATCTGAGAACTGGGATAGCTGGCTTAATCAGATAAACTTTATCATGCAGGAGATTAAAGATTATAGCCAGGTAAAAGATGTTTATTATATGTTTTATGAGTTGTTATTATTTTTAGGTAAGCAAAAGGTATTGACACCTGTTTTTTAGGGTTATAAGCCTTCAAATGTACCACTGTGTAAATGAGAGAGTGAGTAATCTCTTGCATTACACTGGCAGGGAAGTTAGCTTTGTTTTCTGGGATTATAGACTAATCAAGTTAACATTATCCAGGCAACAACTTTAAAAGTATTCCAAAGGCTGTGTGCCAAATTGTCTTAAATAAACTTGGACAGTTACTTAAAAGTAATTTTTAACTACATCAGTTCAGGCCAACATCAAATCCAGCTTGTTCGACCTGCTGATTGTTTACTATAGGCCTATCATGAAGTCTAGCTTACTCGACCTGCTGAAGGTTTAGTGCAGTTCTACCACCAAGTTCAGCTGGTTCGATCCACTGATCACTTTATTACAGGCTTACCATCAAGTCAGCTGTCTTGACCTGCTGATCAGTTTAATAGAGACTTACCATCAAGTTCAGCTAGCATGACCTGCAGTGCACCAAAAAATATTACAGTATATAAGTGTGTGTTGTGTTTTATATTATTGTTTAGAACACTGCTTCTCCTGTTATTTTGGTTTTGCCACTGGCACCAATAAGTCTAAAAGATTGTAATTTATCCAGCTGTAAGAGATCTGAAACTCTAAATACTTACTTGAAAAAATACTGAAGATTGGAATAGGATTACTCTGTCTGAACTTGTATTTTCTTATGAACACTTTTTAAGGATTTTTTTTAACCTAATTGCTACTTTCATTTCATAACATAAGTGTTGATTGAAAAGTTAAGAGAAAAGAGAGAGCACAGTCCTTAAGAAAAGAACACCTGTTGTGAACTTTGAAAACATTATTACAAGATATTTTATAATAAACAAGAGAAAAACTTGATGTTGCAAACAAATTATAAAGATTATGAAAATTTTATAATTGTTTAAAAAATTATGTAAATTTATTTGTAGTTAGTTTTCAAATTTTCTTAGAACACCCACTAATTGTTGTAGTTGTTTCTATAGTTGTCTTTCTGTAATTAAAGATTTGTTTTTTTCCCAAGTGCATTGAGCTGAACAGGTTTGAAGGCTATGACAGTGAGGATGAAGTTATATTCAAGGGGCTGGACTTGCTGGCAGATAACAAACTATGGGCCTCTCTTGTATTCACCAACATGTATGACTTGAAGGATGACAACCTTCCTCCATACATTAAGTACAAAATCCGCATGGACTCTAAGAAAGTGGACAGCACTAAGAAAATTGAGGATATGTAGGTTTAAGTTTTGCTTTGGTTAGAATTCATACAATTTTATTTTTGTTCATTATTTTCAGGACTTTTACCTATTTTTGTTCCTGAGACTTGTCTATTTTCACCTATTTATGTTTTGAAGACTTATCTCCTTTATATGTTTCTGAGATGTATATCTTTTATCTATTACTGATTGTGAAATCTATCTATTTTACCTTTTTTCTG